CAACACCAAAATGTCAGAGAATAACCAACACCAAAATGTCAGAGAATAACCAATGCCAAAATGTCAGAGAATAACCAACACCAAAATGTCAGGGAATAACCAACGCCAAAATGTCAGAGAATAACCAACACCAATGCCAAAATGTCAGAGAATAACCAATGCCAAAATGTCAGAGAATAACCAACACCAAAATGTCCTCCCGTGGCACATCTACCCTCGCGCCAGAAGAGCTGCTGGGGGAGTTAGCGGAGTCTGGAGAACCTCTTGCTGCTGAACGCCTGGATCTGCCACGCTGCACGGGCAGGTTAAACCCGAGGGGAGGGGCAGGGATTGTCATTCCTCACCAGAACGTTGTACTGGGAGACGGAGATGTTGTTGGGGTGCACGGTGAGGCGGACGCACTGCTTCATCTCGGAGGCGAATCTGCGTGGCTCGCTGGAGCGCTCGCACCGCTCCTTCCTCGTGCAGCTGGGGAAACAGCAACAGACAGGGACAGGGTGAGCGCAGAGCCGGGCTGGCAGGGTGGGGACAGCTCTGGGATGTGGGAGCAGCAATCAGTGTGGATAGAAATCGGCTCTGTGCTCTTCGGGATGGCACAAGCGGAAAACCGCACTCGCGCCCTGGCGCGCTCCGGATCTCGGGATCATGGAGAATATCCTGAGCTGCAAGGAACCCACAAGGATCATCACATCCAACTCCTGACCCTGCACAGGACATTCCCAAGAGCCCCACCACGTTCCTGACAGCATTAACTCTGGTTCTGACAGCTGTGGGATTGCTCAAGCAGGCTGGGGAGTTGCAAGGAACTGTAAGAGGAGGGAGGGTGATGGGTGAAAGCTCCATCCCAGCTGCAGGAATTCTCTGTCTCTCTACCCACACAGCAGGTCCAGCACAACCTTCCCTGGGCCAAACCCCCCCAGCCCTTCAAACCCTCCTGTCCAAGGGCTCAAGTGCTGTGGGACACCTCAGGCAGGGCTGTCCTTGTAGAGAAGCCACGCACAGCCCATGTTTTTTGTCCCTCCTGAGAATGCTGCACACTTGTGGTGCCTCTGAGCTGCTGGCACCTCACTTCTGGGATGGGGCCACCCCTGCAAGTAGTTGTCCCTGCAGATTAAGGAATTTTTTGCATCTGCCTTTGTGGGATAGACCAAGAAATGCTTATAGTGTTTTGTAATGAAGAAATAGTTGGCTTCTGATGGTGATGGCGTGAATTATAACATCTCTGTTGTCTCACCTTTCTCATAAAACTAAAAATAGAATAAAAGTTTATAAAACTCCTCTCAGTTTCCCCATCTCTAGGTCAGAAAATGGCTGACTAGAAGTGCTGAGAGTTGAATGTTAAAAATTCAGGTGTTCCCAAATAAGTGACAGCTCAGTGAAATTTGTGTGTGCACAAACCTGGGCCACACAAATGCATGAAGCTCACACCACCCACTAATTGTTGATGTTTTCAGTGCTGTCACTACTCCTCATCTCACCTGTGTGGTGCAAACACAACCCAGAAGAGTGGAATGGTGGCTGTTTGCCCCATTTCCACCCAGGTTTGCACTTGTTTAGCATAAACCACATCTGTATTTCACTCCACACATGCTGCCAAGGCCATTGCTCCAAGGAAGGTGTCTGCCTGGAAATCCACAGGGTTAATCCAAAAGGACAGCTCCAGCTGCATGCCAATTACCTCCTGCCATTAAGTTAATGTTATGGACTTGCACAGGGTGTCTTCAATGGATTTTGTTATTAGCAGTGCTATTACCCCCCATTAAAACCAGCTATAAAGACTTAAGTGCGGATGTTAAATTATTCACCTGCTCCCAGACTTCAGAGTCTCACTTGTGAGAGAACCTGGGGGCTGCTGGAGCTCCAAGATCACCCCTCAGCATCCCTCCTCTTTGGAGCAGAGACTGCACCCTTGTGCATGGGGATTTGCAGATGAGGATCCATGGAAACAGAGGCCAAAAAACTCTATAAATGGTTAATCCAAATGTTATAAAGCTGGGGGCTGCCTAAAACTTCAAGGCTTGGCTTCTCGCTAGTGACTGATTAGATAAAGTGAACACCCCAACTCCAAACTCCAATTTCTCCATCTTTCTGGCAGAGGAAAGTTTTGTATTTCCAGAGGCAGGATCCATGAAGGGATATTTTGGCCATTCTCAGCACACTTTGCAGGTTTGAGAGAGCAAAAGGAGCACTGCAGCTCCTGCTCTCTATTCCCCAGGAGCCCTCATCCCATTAAATCTCCTCTGGCACTGCCACATGCTGGAACAGGAATTTTAAATCGGCACTCTCCAGAGGGTTGGACCAATAACCCACTAAATACCCCCAAAACTGTAAGTCCCCCATGGTGGCATGAAAGCCAAAAGGCAAAATGCTGACCTGAGATTTTTCCAAGCACTTCCATAAAACAAACAGCCTCAGCAATCCCATTAAAGCTCCACAGGGTGTGGGAACTCTTCTCCTGGGACTAGCTTGGAAGGGAAACCTTTTTGGGCTCAGAATCAAAACACAAGTGCACAAATTCTTCAAGATATTCTGTAATCTCCCACTTATTTCTTTCAGCTGCAGCACAACAGAAATATCTGGATTTTCTAAAATTAAACAGGCTCAGTTCAAATCTATGCATATGGATTAAGCATCCAGGAATGTGGTTTGTATTCCCAATCTCACCACTGAGCAAGATATAATAATCCACATTTTTCCTTGCTGTTTACAGGTCATACACATTTAAAATATGTAACTTTTTGGACCAAACTCTAGCTTAATATTAGACTGATGTGCCTTGCAGGCTTGATATCTGCCATAAGGTGAAAATAATGTCATCCAAATAATGAATTTATGAAAAAAACAAACCAAACTAAGCCTGGGTTTAATATAATGTTAAGGCTGCTGTATCAGGGTCTCAGGAATTAGGGGCTGCCAGACTGAAAGCAGCTTCTGTACTTCCAAAGCTGCTGCCTGCACTCACACACTGCAAGCCAGATTTTAATTACAGGATCACAGGTTATTATTCCTTTTTTCCACTGTGACCTCAATCCTGCCACTTCCTAACTTTTGACTTTCACTGACTTTTTCAATGCAGTTCCTCAGCTGGAAAAGCTCTAAATAAATGCCTGTGCCTGAGTCTGGGGGTGGGGGAGTTCTGCTGAGCTGGGCTCTGGGTCAGGGTTCAGGCTCTGGGGTCAACAGCCCAGGTGAGTGACCACAGCTGCTTCAGGAATCAAATCTGAAGGGATGGAGCCACCTGCCAGTGGGTTTGGCAGGTTTGTGCATGCAGAAAGGAGTGATGGTGCCTCTTCTCCAGAGCATTTTGTCCAGGGTTTCCCCCATCTCCTCTCCCAAGACCACGTTATCTATCCTAAGCTGGAGCACCCTGTGGGTTCACACATCACCCAAGGTGTCTGCCCAGCACCTGCAGCTGAGGTTCTCCAGGGGCAAAACCTGGTGGGTTTTCCTGTGATGGATTGCCCTGAAGGAAGGGAAATTTAGGTTGGATGTTAGGAAAAAATTCTTTACTCTGAGGGTGATGAGGCCCTGGCAGAAGTTGCTCAGAAAAGCTGTGGCTGCCCCATCCTGGAAGTGTCCAAGGTTGCATAGGGCTTAGAGCAACCTGGGATAGTCCCTGCCCAGGGCAGGGGGTGGAACTGGAGGATCTTTAATGTCCCTTCCACCCCAAATCCTTCTGTGATCCTACAATTCAGGTGAGCAGAAAAAGACACAAAGAAACCTTCTCCCTCCAGCCTTCCTCTGCACTGCCAAAAATATTCTGCCCTCCTAAGTGAGAGGAAAAAACAGCAGAAAAAGTTGTTCCAACAACTTTCCAACAGGTGCAGAGGTAAGTCTTTCCCTCCTGCTCCAGTCTCAGATCCCTGGGTGGTGAAGGCTGAGACGCAGGAACAAAAGTGACAAAGGATCTGGTCAGAGAAAGCAGCAGCCCAGAAGGGACATGGCAGCCCCAGTTCAGAAAACTGTAAATAGAGGCAAATGGGAGTTTTAATAATTAAGTAATTCCAGATCCTGCCTATAAAAGTGGTCACCTGGAAGGCAGCCAGGCTGAGGGAGGGATAATGAAATATCCCAACCTCAACTCATCATTTCTGATGTCTCTGGTGACAGCCATTGTCTACCCTGGGAGCTCCTGTGACTCTCACTGGTGGTTTTATTATTGTTTACACAGAAGAAAACCACTTTTACTGCCAACATTACTTTAATAAAGTATCTGTACCCCAACATTCCAAGGGTATCCATACATCAAAATCCCTTCTCATTGCCACATTCCCTGCTAGCCACTCCATAACTGGGGGATGTGCAGCTCCCACCCAGTGGCACCACATTCCACTTCAGGCCCCTAAAAGAGCATCTCCCACTCCTGAATTTGTTTTGATTGTGGGGCAGACACAACACTTCTCTGGGTGTCTCAGCAGCAGCTGCTCTTTCATTATCAGCTGTGTCTTTAACAGTTCCAAGCGTCCTGCTTTGTCCAAAACCATTAGCACAAACACTGAGGAGCTGCTCCTACCACTGAACCATGAGGAATGTCATTTCCTCCTCATCTCCCATTAAGAATAAATACCACTGGTGCTCACTCTCTGCTCACCAGCCACCAACCAATTATTTTAATAATGTTAAATTAATACTTTCCTCTTCTCTCGTGTCTCTCCCCTAAGAATCTCAGAGGGCTTTGCCTGCAGCTAATTAAACTTCAGGATACCTACACGAGGTTGGAATTAGCAGGAAAGTGAGGCACAGACTGAGAGCAGGGCAAAGCCCTGGTGGTCCTGGTTTGGGACACAAGAAATCATCACTAAATCCCTAATTCAGTGACCTAAAGCTGGGGCCACTCCCTGCAAACCCAGGCTGCAGAGGGGCCAGGTTATTCCACCTCTGGAGGGATGGGAGGGGTTCTTCTCCCTTGGTCAAACCAAGCCCAGACTCTCAGTGAAGACACATCTCCATCATCCTGTTGCAGCCAAAAATCCCCAAACCACCACCCTCCACACATAAATCCCCCCAAAAATGACCTTTATTTTTCACCTGACCGAGCCTTGCTTGCTCATAACCATAACTGTTGAAAAAGGAGAAGATTTGGATTCTGTTTTACTTTTTTCCCCCATAATTTCCCAAGAAGCAAGAATAAAATATCCAGCTTTCTGAACATGAGTCCCAAAAAAGTTAGCTTTCTTGCAATGGAAAAGATCTTACCTGCAATTCTGTTAATTAATAACAGATTAATAATTGTAATGTTAATTAATAACAGAATTTCAAGACAAAAGAATGGTGATTGGATCTGATCAGAAACTGCTACTCAGAACAGAGCATTTGGGGACTTCTTACAAGTGGCAATTAGCACATGATGTATTTTTTTTTTCATTCAGGGGAAAAAAATACTATCCAAAATTTTTAACTTCCAGAAATAAATTCTAAAGAAACTAAACCTTTTTGGAGAAATCTCACCATTTGATGCACAGCAGTTT